GGAAGGGATAAATTGGGAGTTTAAGATTTGCAGATAATAACTACTATATATAAAATAGATTAAAAAACAAGTTTCTACTGTAAAGCACAGGGAACTATATTCGATATTTTATAGTAACCTATAATGAAAAAGAATATGAAAATGAATATATATGTATATGTATGACTGAACTATTACGCTGTATGCCAGAAATTGACACAACTTTGTAAACTGACTATACTTTAATCAAAAAAAAATCCACTTAACCACCATCACCATCTTAACCACCATCATCACAACTATGACTAGTTTACCACCAACAGGCTACTCTGTTGCCACTCCATAGCCACACCACCAGTACCTCCACCACAGCACCACTCCCCAGCATAGCACCACTCCCCAGCAGAACCTCACCACCATCATCTCTACTACTACCAGCATCTGCTACTACCCTTCCCACCAGTCACACAACCATTACCTCCACGGCCACCAGCACCCACTACCACTCCCCCCACCTAAGCCTCTCCATCAGCAGCACTCATGAGCTGTCCGCCTGCCATAGCCCTACCACCGTCACCCCCACCACCATCCTGCTTCTTCTAATGAAAACATGTAATGATGGAGGAGCTACAACAGTCCAGTAAGCCCCGTGGAGAGCTGGCTTGGCTCACCCTGTTGCATGGCTGTGGGCTGCTCTTGTCCACTTGACCACAGGAAATGCCTGTCTTGAACTGTTGCTCTGAGCACCCTCTCAGAATCTGTCTTCCAGGCAGAAAATGATGAAGGCACTTTTGTTGACTTACGAATCTATAAACAGTGGCGTTTCCTTCTGTTCCTCCTGTGAGTTTCCCCACGTGTTTATCTCTCCTATTCCTTCCCCGCTGGTATCTCTTGGACCAGTTGCTGGGAGTTACTCTTTCTCATCTTATCTCTTGCGTCAGGAGGCCCAGACAGGGGTATGTCTGGCTGCCTGGAGTTGGGGGTGGAGTGGGGTACGACCTGCCAGTGGGAGAAACCCAGGTAAACTTTTAAGCCTCTTGCTTCAGTGGCCTCAAGAGACCCTCAGAGATGTTACCTGGATAACACTGGAAGACTCTGGAGGGAGGCCCCTATCCAACTCAAATTCAGGCCCTAAACATACCATGAGCTGCAAATAGTTAGATGTTTATGGGCTGTTTTGATAATATAAAGAGAGAACATGTGTGTCTGGGATTCATCTGTGAAAGAGATTAGGAGGTAGAATTTGTGGGTGAAAAATAAAGGCCCTAAAAACAGAAGCTAGAGCCCTGGCTCTCCAAACCTGCCGGGTCTGGGACGCTGCCAGAGAAGGGCTGGAACTATGCCAGGACTTAGGGCCTCTGTCTTTCCTATTTCTACTTGTGCAGTCAACGAGGAGACGGCACAGGGGAGGAGCTCCTATTTGGGCCTCTTTGGCCTTCTAAAGCCCAGGTTTTATCTGCGCTTCTGAGACTGTGTCACCAGAAAGTCTCTCAGGGGCAGCTGGACTGGCCTGCGTATATACAGCATGTCTAGAGAGGGATGTGAAAGAGACTACATAGAACATTGGTTGCCTGTGGGGAGGGGAGCTGGGGAGTTGGGTAGGCAGGTGATTTCCTGCTGTTTACTGGTTTATACTTTAAAACTTTGAACTATTACCCTTTTGAAGGATTTTATTATGCAAAAAAGTGAAGCTGCTACTTTTCACTCCCCCCAAAACGATCTTTATGAGAAATGAAGAGGTAAGTTTGTTCATTATTTGAAGATGATATGATATGATTTTTACCCAGGAAGTATGAATCTACTAAAAAATGATTATAAGAGATAAGATGATTTAGTAAGCTGCATCCCCAAGAAAAATGTTGACAATTTTTGTCTCTGAAACTGAAAAAGCTGATTGTAAGATTCAAAAGGGAATTTCTAAAAGGCCTAAAATATATCTAAAAAGATGTAAAAAAATATATAAATATGGGTGCATCTAGAGATCAGCATACTAAGTGAAGTAAATCAGACAGAGAAAGACAAATACCATGTATCACTTACATGTGGAATATAAAAAAGTGATACAAATGAACTTATTTACAAAACAGAAACAGACTCACAGACATAGAAAACAGATTTATGGTTACCAAAGGGGAAGAGGTAGGGGAGGGATAAATTAGGAGTTTGAGATTAACAGATACACACCACTATATATAAAACAGATAAACAACAAGGGCCTATATTCTCAGGGAACTATATTCAATATTTTGTAATAACCTATAATGGGAAAGAATCTGAAAAAGAATAGATTTGTGTGTATATAAATAACTACCCTGGGATATAATTTTCTTCACCTATCAGATTGGCAAAGATAAAATAATTTGACAACTTTCTGAGTTAGTATGGTTTGGAGAAATAGTTAGGTACGAGAGTAAATTGGTACAGCTTTATGGAGGGAAATTAAGTAATATCTACCAAAATTTTAAATGTTTATAGTTTTGAATCAGCCATTCCACTTCTAGACGTTTTATCATGCAAATAACCAAACATGCATAAAATGAAATTTACACAAGTGTTTCCATTCCACTGGTAGTTAACATAGCAAAATTTTGGAAACTACCTAAATGTCCATAAATAAGGCACGGATAGATAAATTATGGAACATGCATTTAATAGACTACTATACAGTTGTGAAAGAGAATGAAGTAGTTCTATATAAACTAATATGAAACAGTCTCCCAGCTCTATTGGTAAATGAAATAAACAAGGTAGAGGACTACGTGAACAGTGAGTATGCTGCCTCTGCGTAAAGGTGTGTGTAGGGGAGAATATATATGAATTTGCTTGTGTTTCATGAAAAATTTCTGAAAAGTTATTCCTGCTCCTGGCCTGAGAGTAAGGCTTTTTCCCCCCTTTATATCCTTTAGTATCTTTGTACCATAGGAATATATTCTGTGTTAATATTTAAAAAAAAAATTTGCAAGGATAAGCAAAGGCTGACCAGAAGACTGATTTCACCACTGCCAGGCCCCTACCTGGGAGGGCAATGGGGGAGTCATGGGCTGGCTCCCCTTTTGAATTTTGTTTCACTTCCAGTGCTAGCAAAGAGAATCTTTTCTTTCTTGATACAATTTCCGTAGAGTTACACATATCCACTCTCTGGCTGTCCTTCAGCTGGGTCACTTTTGAAGGAGCCTAGGATGGGACAGATACTGCCGTGGTTTGGCTGAGCTGGGGAAAGGCGAATGGGAAACGTGAGAAATTGAAGGTTTGTGGCAACCCTGCATTGTCAAATGGCTAGCAATTTTTAGCAAAAAAGTATTAATTAAGGTGTGTATGTTGCTGCTTTAGACATAATGCTGTTGTACACTTAATAGACTACTATACAGTGTAAACATAACTACTATATGTACTGGGAAACCTAAATATTTGTGACTTGTTTTATTGCAATATTCGCTTTATGGCAGTGGTCTGGAACTGAACCCGCAGTATCTCTGAGGTCTGCCTGTGCTGAATTCCGTTAGGGTTGGGGGTTGGGAGTTGGAAACGGATTGGGGGAGGACCTTGTTTGCCTTGTTTACTGTTCTATCCCTGGGCCTAGAATATTCTACACAAAGGGACTCAATAAATGTTAAATGAATGGATAAAAGACAACCTTCACATCCAAGGAAGGCCCTAACTCTAAGGAGTGACCCTAATGGGAATTGCAAGGTCTTCTGACAGACCAAGGTGAAGAACTATTTGTCCTTTAAGTTCTTCTCAAATTATGCGAAGTCTGCTCAGCTCTGCAAAATAGAATCAGCTTTGAGCATTGACATCATGGGCAATGACTGTGATCCAAGGCTTAGAGGAAACAGATGCCTGAGGATGATCGTGGGCCAAATTCCTTAGACTGTCACTTGAAGCTCTTTCCCCCTCCCTCCAGGCTCTTGCCACATTTTTTTCCCCTGCAGCTTGCTCCCTCCTGCTCTGATCTCTAGCTGTCTGAATGGCTTGCAGTTCCTGACTGCTTTACTCCACCCCCGCCCCTTCAACCTGGAGTCTATTTGGCTAACTCCTGGCTTTTTAGCATTTAGCTTAAATGCCACTTTCTCCAGGAAGTCTTCCTTGATCCACAGTCCCAAGTCTGGACTAGTTGCTCCTCCTCATGCTCCACAACATCCTGTGTTCACCCAATAGTGGTTCTCACCCTCTGTATTATAACTTCCTGTTTCTCATTCTCTGCGTGCTTAGACTTGAGCTCCATGAGGGCAGGCCTTGATCCCTCTTATGTCCTCAGTGCCTATCAGAGTCTGGCACCTAGTAGAAATTCAGCGAATATTTATTGAGGGAAAAAGTAAAAGAACACGGTGTTAAAATCAGGATTCGTGAGAGAGTCTGAGAGTGCAGTACCTGAAATATTCCAAGTACTTCAGAGGTCATTGACTCTGTAAGATGTTCCACTCCACAGTGTTTTCCTTGAACAATCTTTCATGATTGTCAGGCAATAATTATAGAGTGAAATAATTATAGGCTATTTCCAGCTCCGTGCTGCCAGGATTTTCCTGGTTCTCAGCCATCTTTTAACAGGACTGTCAACCTCCCATGTAATTTCCACCACACCTTCTCTTCTCCCTCTGATTAACTACACTTACCCTTTTGTTTATGTATAATAGAAGTCTTTAACTTTTTAATTTAATGTGTGTATTTATTATATGCCCTAAACAACTCTCTCAGTCATGTAGCCATTGCCAAGAGGGCTGGTGCCTCATGCCTTCCTCCGCGTGGTGTTGTGAGAAGCGGGTATATTGCAGAGGGAACAGTGCTTGGAGTTGCTTTGTGTTCAGCAGGACCATAAGCACAAGGTACAACCAATAGAAAAGTCTGAGAGTACTTCATTCCCTACCAAAAATCTACCTCACCACGTCATTCGCTGACTTTCTCTACAGAGCCCCGGACATCCCAGGGCTATGCAGGACCACAACGCATGGGTGGACTGTCAGTCAAGGGGTTGGAACTCTTTGGACTGAGGGACCTCTTAGATGTGATTTAGGAGGGGACTCAAAGGAAGGCAAAGTGAGACATCTCCCAGGTTGTTTTTTTTTTCCTAAGACACAAAGACAGAGTATGTAGAAATATCTACAAGGTTTTTTGTTTTCCTAAGTCAATCACCGTCTGTCAGTACCTTCCTTATTTGTTGACATGCTTGTTTTCTGTCTCCCCCGCCCCACCCCCAGGATGTAAGCTCCACAGACGGGCAGGGGCTTTGCTTTGTTTACTGCTTGACACATACCAGGAACTCCTATTTCCTGAATGAGTTAATGGGGTCAGGCAGTGAAACAGTAGAACACTCCCAGCATTCAGGGCACAGGAGGGAACTGCTGAGGGGAAAGTGATGACTGTAGGGGCACAAAGATGAGAACAAGGATGGAAGTTTATTGGTTCTAGTGAGTTAGCCATTGCAGGACAAAGTGACAGTGAGCTGCTCAGCCAGTCTTCTTTCTTGACATCTGGGGGTCAGTAAGTCATGGCCACGTCCACAATTCTGGACTTCATGGCCAATGTCACAATTCTGGATGGGACACCATGGAATCCCTGGGCCCTGAACAGAGAGTCCTGGGGAGCCATGCAAACAGCCCACGGGACTATCCATCGCTGGCATCTCCTCTGGGTGGGGAATGGCACAGCTTGCATTTGAACTTGCTCCTTTCCCAAAGTGTAAAATCTATGTGTCCAGCTCATTGTCCCAGAATTTATAACCCAAAGTCTACATAGACATTCCTGTAACCCTTGATGTCTTTAAACTTGTTGCTCCTCAGATTCGCTTGGATCTGCCTTTGGCCACTCTTGAAGGGGACAGTCTCCAGAGTGAGGCTGGCTCTGTGTTGGGGTTTGAGGACTCCAATGCTGTGGTAGAGAAAGGGGACTGTCAGAAAACTAACCCCACCGCCCTTTTCCACTCGGCAGCCAGGCCTCCCCTTTCCCTGGGCTCACTACCCCAGGATCAGATAGGCGGGAAGGCTGAGCACTCACAGGACTCTCTGC